AGCTTATGCCATATTTTTCAATAGCGTGATTACAAAGCATGTAACGTTATTTAATGAGTGTAATATAATTACTTTATGCGTCAATAGGATATAACCGGTTGGATCTGCTGGTATATTTTATTGTAGTAAGTGGTATGTAACTCTATTACACAAGTATATAATGAAATAGTAGATGCTTGTAAATATATTCTGCAGGTATATTAATAATGCACTGAGGTATTTGATGATGCAACTCTGTAAGAACGAATGATAAATATAATATCATGTTATTTCTATGGTATTTGAATTCTATTATTGGGTAATCATTTGGAATTCTAATAGCTTATTAAAGCCCGTTGTTGTTGCTAAGTACAACCATTACCTATATAGCACAATTAAACATCAAATTTCCACATCCCACACAACTACATTGCTATTATAAAGTTATATACGTTAATATTACATGTATATATATGTATTTGCAAGCATATTGGTAATGGAATGAGCTATCTGGTGATGCTAACATGTGGGAACAAATGGTAAAAATAATATCATGTTGTTTCCATAATGTCAACTCCGATGTTTAATGACGTGGGCTCCGGGTTAAAGTTATTAATCAAGGCAAGCAGGCGGTGCCACTACAACCTTATCTTTGGGCAGTCCAGAAAATGGCCGAATTGAGTCATTTTGATGGCTCTAATATGTTCATCCAATATGCATTTCTTCATTTTCTCCATCTCGTTATGAAAACATGGTACTGCAAATCGGATGATAACCTATTTGTATTCTTTCCCCGATTTGTAAATAAATACCACAAGTTCACATTACTCGAACAATAAAAAAAACTAAAATATACAACTTCGGGTAACTAAACAAAATGTACATCTACAAAATTAAAAAAATCACAAATTAAATAAATAAAATAATCCAAAATTGGTGCCAAAATAAAACACTCAACTCGGTGTATCTAGGCAAATATACGAATGATTTCAAATCCGATTAACAAATAAAACTACACCGATCACTTAGGGCTTCTCAACACCAAACCAATGCATACAAATACGGGACCAAGATTTACACCTCAAATAATCGAACAAACTACGGTATAATATCAAGGTCAACAAATCAAAACTTGAAAAAGGTCCAACCTGGCACTTACTTCTTCGAGCTTGTCTTGGGGGATGGGAGCGGTCAGCTGTTTTCTTCACATTTTTGCATCGAATCGGTTGTTACTTAATTTCCGGAGGTTCGAGAGCATCGGTTTGCCTAGAGATTGAAGAAAAAAGGTTTAAAATCGGTGTGAGGGGAGTTATGAGAGGTTTCCTGCCTTTACCCTTATTAAATCGTGAATTAATTGTTTTTTTTTTAATTCACAAAAAGAAAAGGTACGCGATTTCTAACTAGAAGTATATAAGGTTACAATAGAGGTAGAGCGGGAAGTAATATAGGTATATATTACAAGATTTGAAGTATTGATCAACCTATTTCGAGTACATGTTGCGTATATAACGGTGATTGAGGGAAAAATACACATTGGGGAGCTATAACAAACCTAATTGATAAAGTAGGGATTGCAGACTAACTAATTTCTAATAGGGACTGAATTGCAAGTATATTTGTCTGACAGGGATTTTAATCCAAGTCTCCCTTTTTTTAATTCTAATTAAACTAAATAATTATTTAATCTTAATTTATAATTACTTATATTATACAATAATTATTTTTACTAATACATTCTTAATTATTTACTAATCATACTCCTCATAAATTCTTGTGTCTACAGTAAAGAAGACATAATAGCGACGTAGCGCAACAAATGAGCGACTAGTATATATATATATATAACACCGTAGGCATCGTGTGTAAGTGTTAATGATTGTTGATGAACACGCATAATGTAACTTGATATAGAAAAATAAATAAACTACGAATAGTTGCATTTTAAAGAAGAGATGTATTCCCTTCGTTCCAGAACTATAGTATGAGTTATGTTTGACATATTATATTGGCAGTGGGTAAAAAATACGGATAAAAGACTTTTTTTACCCTTGTGAGTGTATTAATATAAAATAGAGTAACAATTGTGTAATAATAATGAAAAAGTAATGGTAGTTTTATAGTGATATATGGTTATTTATGAAAATGAGACTATTGTTTTCGGACGGACAAAAATGATAAACAAGATTGGGACGGAGAGAATATATTTTACATACAAAACATCACATCAACACATATTTATAACACATCATAAAATTATATAACTTCAAAAATTTTACTATTCAAACTTCAACTCAATATCTAAATCTCTAAACAAACACGTCCTCAACATGCATAAATTAGGGCTCATTTATATTGACTTAAGAAATAAGCAGAAGCGAAAAGCAAAAACAAAAACAGAAATCAAAAGCACAAACAGTTTAATTTTGCATTTGAATGAATCGTTATAAAAACAGTTTTTTCAAATAATATTAAAATTCGTAAATTTTTTTATTTTAAAATCTAAATAATGGATCGTTCCTATTAATTTAATGAAAATATTATTATTACAAACATCTAAGTTAAATATTAAAAAAAATAGTTTAAACACCTCAAATATTCAAATTTATCTAAAAAAGTTAAAAAAAAAAAACGAACTAAAATATTAGTTATTTATAATTTTAAAAGTTTAATTCTATTGTATAATTTTAAAATTATTATATAATATTATTTTTTATTAAAAAAAAATTGTCCCCATCCAAAAACTTTCCTAACTCGGCCAATGTTTGTTACTGTATTATATTATTATAAACTATTTACCGGTGTTTTATAATATATTTTTTATTTAAATGTAATGTATCGCTTTAATTTTTTATTATAATATATAAATAAATAATAATATTTTCCTAATTAGTAGAAGTTTGCAATATAATTTTATATTTTTCTTTTAAAAGTATAAAATAAATATTTTTATAAAAATAAGAGTATTTTGATATTTAAAATTACTTTTTAATATAATTAAAATTGGTGTTTTAAGTTAAACAAAAAAAAAAAAAAGTAAAAATAAGTATACTGATTTAGAAAAAAAGAAATACTCCTTAGGTCCCAACTAAAAATAGTATTATACTATTTTTGTGCATTGTATCTATTTTTATTATAGTAAAAATAATTACATTAATACAAAAATATTCTTTTAACTTTTAAATAATTTATAAAATATTATTATGTATAATTAATTTATGCATAAATTAAAAATGACAACAACATTATTATTATTTTATACAATTATGTTAAATAATAAAGTATTACTCCTTACGTCGTACTGACTTTGCCCACTTTTGTTATTTTTTTAAAAAAAATATAATTATATATTTAAGAATATTTTAAAATTTATAATTTATATATATTTTTTAATTTTAATTAAATTATTTGGTCATTTAATCTTAATCTATAACTATTTTTATTAAATTATAATTATTTTTAGTAATTATTTTTTAAGTATTTACTAATTATACAATACCTACAGCACTGTATCTAAGTTAAAGTGGACAAATTAGCCGAAACTTTTTTATAATACTTCCTCCGTCCCATTGGAAGGGTGACGTTTTTTTTTTACGTAGATTTTTGAATATTAGTATTATATTGGATTGTAGTAAAAAAGACAAAATACCCTTATTAGTATGGTGTAATATAAAAGTAATAACATTTGTGTAATATATTGTAAGTTGAAATGGTATTTATTATGTTACGTAAGTAGTACAATTGCTAAATTAGAAAATAGTAACCTTATTTTGGGACGGACAAAAATAAAAAATTATAACTTTTTAATAGAACGGATGGAGTATTACATTTTAAAATCCCAAAACCTGTTCAGATATTATAAAATATCATGAGTAACATGTATTATCCGCAAACATATGTGTGTTCTTTTATAAAATTTCTTCAAATTTTTAATATTGATCAATTTTTATTTATTTTTTGCCAAAAAATCTAATTATACATCTAGAGTTTGTTCGTTTGTGGGTTTGAATTTTTTAATAGTAAAATATTGAATTTGAATAGTTGTTTGATTTGATATAAATAGAGGTTGATTTAATGTTTTGAATATAAAATAAATTCGTAGTATAATATAAAAAAAAAATTGTTTGATTTGATATATTTGGAGAGAAAAAAGAATTTAAATAGTAAAAACCTTTTGTAAAAATCACAAAAGAATATAACCCTATTTTTTATTTTTTATATTTATTAAAAATTAATTTACATTAAAAATAATACGTTTATGTATATTTATATCACATTATACAATTATTATTATTCGAATAAAAAAATAATTACAAACTCCAAACAAACACACCCTAAATAAAAGTGGATTATGCGATAGATAGCAGACAAAATAAGAGGCCTACGCAGAAATTAAAGTAATTAATTGAGAAATAGAGTAAGCTATCAATACATACGAATTTGTAATTATTGGTGTACGTATAGTTTCCGGTGACACGTGGCCATGTCGGATAAGACAGTGCATACAGACATCAGGTTCAAATGCTACTCCTTCCAAGATCCATGACACCCAACACCCGATAAAGCTACTCAACTTATTCAAGTGGGCTCCACACAATAAACGTTCCAGATCTTTTCAGGCGTCGAGCTCCTGGGACCCTCTAACTATCACCCAACCCTCTGTTACATGTGGGCCCAGAAACGGCCCCCCGTTACGGTTCTCGTGTAATTATTTCCCGCCATTGCATGTGAATTTACAAAAATGATCATGTCGGAGCTGCGTATAGAGAAGATAATTCAGGGGCAATATGGTCATTTCATGAGTCGTCGACAGAAAGGTCAAAGAGTCAACCAACGGCGGACTGTCCTATGTGGCGTGGCTAATGTACGCCGGTGACACGTGGCGGGTTTCTATTCGTTCTTTGGAGGTCTCCGGGATTCAGAGCGCTCACACACAATAATTAAAGTATGCGAAGAAGCAAGCAGGAGCGCACACGCAGTCTCTCTCATCTTCTTTTTTTTATATTTTATATTTTATATTTTATATTTTTATTTATTTTTATTTTTTTTGCTTTCTCATTCTTCTCTCTCTCTGAGTGTGTTTTCTCTCTCCAAAAGAAATCCACATTTCCCCCAATTTCCAGCAATTTTCCGGCCGGAAGCGCGTGTTTTTGGATTCTCCGATGAGAGATCTTTCGATCGGACCCAATTTTGTGCAGTGAGGATCCGTAATTGAGTTTGTTTTTCCGGATTTTGGTTGAATTTCGGAAAATGCTGGGAGCAGCATCAATGGTGAGCAATGGCGGACTGTCTTCTCACTCTTCGCAGCTGCATAGTTGCGGGGATAGTAGCGAGGAGGAGCTTTCGGTGCTTCCTCGTCACACGAAGGTTGTGGTGACTGGTAACAACCGTACGAAGTCTGTGTTGGTAGGGCTTCAAGGAGTTGTGAAGAAAGCTGTAGGCCTTGGCGGATGGCATTGGCTGGTAATAATAAATTAAATAGTTGATTGTTTTGTTTATTTGTTTTACTTTTTCAGTAAGAATTGATTATGTGTGGTTTTGAAGCAATCGATTGGATGTTCGTTCTATAAGAAATTGATGAGTTGAAATAGCAAATTGTGTTGAAAGATTTTGTTTAACTAAAGAAGAATTTTGTGAAGGATAGCTTCTGGATATACTTCAGATTCCAATATTGGTAATGGTGATTAGTTGCGTTCTTCTCGTGAGTGGATCTGTTGCATTTTCTATGCATGCTCTCTGTGTGATTACTGCAATTTCGGATCTTAATTATGCACAGTAACTCATGGTGATGAGATGATGTTGACAGTACTTTCATGAGGTATATATATATGTATGTATATATTTACTGAACATTTCCTTTTGTGTTTGAATTATTGAAGAAAAACCTCAAACCGCAAACTGATTCATTGTTACATACAATAAATTTGCTCCTCTTTGTACTCAATATAGATTGAAGATCTCTGTATAGAATTATCTAGGGTTACTCTGGCTGATTATTGCTAATATAGGTTTGAATTTGTTGGTTAATCTACTGTAAATTGAGCTCTCCAGAAGAAACAATATGCAAATTCAATGTGTGTTATCATGCTTTTGGATTTGGAGAAGATGCTAGAAAAACTATGGCAGTTCTTGTTGATCTAAAGATCTTATTAGGGACCTGTTTTTTTTACTTGATGCAAGGTTCTTACAAACGGGATTGAGGTTAAGTTACAAAGGAATGCTTTAAGTGTCATTGAAGCTCCCACCGGTAACGAAGAAGTCGATGATCTTGAGTTCGAGCAATTACGGTGGAATGGCGCCGACATGGGTGAGCTTGAGTATCCTTTAAAAATTGATTGTTTGCATTGTTGGATGAAACCCTTTTAAGAAATCAAATTAAACATTCTTTTTAGTCACATGAGATTGTTTTTTCAATCTTTTCCATTATGTTTCAAATTCTTTCATTGATTTACTGACATTGTAATTAATCTGATTGTGTCATGCAACGGTATCCTTAGCATTCGATGATGTGCAAAAGTCGCATAGATCAAGACAGCGATCGTATGGTTCATCCAGCAAAACTCTTAGCCACTCTCTCTCCCGCGACTCCCAGTCGAAAGATTCTGTTTCTACACCAAAGGAATCTGTGGTAAAGAAAGAATCTTAGAAGCATCATAGAATCATTTTATTCAATATGGCTTTAAAAGAAAATCACTTCTCTCTTTTTCGCAGAAAGTCGATCTCAGCAAACTTGAAATGGCTGCCTTATGGAGATATCTTCTGCACTTCAATCTAGTGAGTTAAATTATATACATATATATATGTGTATATGAACATTGAATTATTCTTATTGATCGATGATTATAGGTGGATGCTGTTCCAAACCATTCTAAGGAACAACTTATTGAAATCGTGCAGAGGCACTTCGTATCGCAGGTATGATGCTAAAACAACGTCATACGGATAATCCCGGGTGGATGTTTATGTTGATAATCAAATCGAATAATCGGGATTATGTTTATTATGTGTGTGCAGCAAATGGATGAGTTGCAAGTGATCACAGGGTTTGTGCAAGCTGCCAAGAGGTTGAAGACAGTTTGCAAATGATATATGATATATATACATATCTATTATGCTCCAAATACTCATCTTGAGGCCTGCCTGACTCTCTAACAAAGCTTGAGACAGTTTGAACCACCCCACCCCCACCCCCACCCCCACCCCAGAATGTGAATGTATATCTACCCTACCCTCTCCACCCTTTGTGACTATATAGTTTGCAGAGGGGTAGCTATGTAGATAAAGTCTTAATTAAAACCAAGAACCAGTGGACTGACACTCACTCTCTAAGAGGCCATTGTTGGCATAAATATGGTTCAATGCTTAGCTAACCAGTGGGGAACCTTTTCTTCAATATATATATATTATATGTAAGTATGTATGTATGTATAGGTGGGCAGCTCCTTTGTAATGAAAATGAGCCTTAAATGATGAAACCTTGAGGCTGGTGAATTACATTGCATTATTATTATTATTATTATTAGTTTCGTAAAGGAAGTTTATCGTAAATTAGTTTTTTAAGTGGAAAATCTTTCGCAATTTTGGAGATGTTTAAGTGAAACTTGCGTGGCTTCTTGATTTGGCGAACACGAGTTCTCTAACGAGCCACGTAGTACTATGTAGGTATATTTGGCGACGAAGAACTAAAATTACTAAGATTTTTCACTTACGAGACTAATTTGACAAAATTAAAATGATAAATAGTCTAATTAAAGAAATAAAAGACAACTTTATCCATATTATTATTATTATTATTATTATTATTATTATTAGAAGAGAAAGGTAAGGAGGTTGGGGGGCTTTAAGGTAAGATTGGATAAGATTCCAGGCTGGCACATAATCTGAAGTAGAAATAGGTACATCACAATATAGTGGGTATCCAATGTGGGCTTCTTTCATTACTGTTTGTTACTATATTTTTTCTTACTATTTTGCCCTTACGATATTTTGCTGTATTTTGTGCTTGTTTATTTTGTATTTATAATTTTGTACTTGGTAATAGGGTTTGGATTTTGAATTAAAATAATTATTTTAATATGATATAAATATATATTAAATGTGTATATTTGATTTGAGCATTATTTTTGGAAAAATTTTAGTAATAGTAGAAATTTTAGAGAATCTTACAATAAGTGTTCTTTTGTGGATATTTTCAATTAATATTTTTTAAAAATATTAAATTTTTATTTTTTTATATTAATTTCAAAATTAATTTATATTTAAAATATATTTAATTGTATTAAATAAAATAATTATTTCAATTTTTTAAATTACTATTATTTAAATTCAAAATCATGGATGTGAAATTATACTGATGTTATAGAAAATAATGTTTGTGCGGTTGATATTTATTGTATGTATACAAAAGTTTATTTTTGTAGGATTTCAAATAAAAAATAAATATTATTTATTTTATACAATTTTTTAATAAACATATACTATTTAGTTTAACATAATATCATATCAAAATATTATCAAAACAAAAATTTAATATAATTGTCAATTTTCATTACTCTTTCCATCCCGGTCCAAATGGGCCTTTTGGGGTTTTTTTATAATAGATAAAAAATAATAGTATTTATTAGGTAGTAGAAGTTTGTAAGAGGTTTTGACATTTTTAACATTTGACTTTATATAAAAAGTAATTGTATGTATAATGATATGTTTGTAACTTAGATAAAAAAAAAAGTATTTTCGTATTGTTGTATAATTATTTTTACTAAAATAAAAAATATATACTTTGAAGTAGGATTGACGAAAATAGTAAAAATAGTTCTTTGAATTGAGACAAAGGAGTATCTTACATTTCATATTTTATATTCACATCATCATTTTAGTCATTTTTATATTTTATTTCAATTATATATATATATTTTTAAAAAAAATTTATTCTCTTAACTATAATTTAAATTTCTTAATCTATAATCATCTTAATTTTAAACTAATTAATTAGCCTAAACACATTTAAATTATATTTAAAAAAAAATTGTAATGACTTTTCTTAATACATGTCTTAAGATTATCTCTATATTTATTAATTATATCATTTTTAAAATGTAAGAACAATGCTAGCTATTTTTGTTTTGGTTTGATGATTAATAATAAGCACCGTACTGATTTTTCATATCAGCACACGTCATATATGTAAACAGTACATATTAGTATTACACACAACATATGTTATATATAATAAAGGTATGTGTTATTTTTTTTTTTTTAATAATAACAAGTGTGTTGTATACAAGTATATCATGTGTTAAAATCAACTGTTGTTTGTTGTATGAGACTATAGCATGTGTTGTTAATTTATATTTGTATTTGTATTATATTAACATATACAATATGTTGTCTGTAGTAATATTGTGTGTTGTTGAGACTATAGCATGTATGTTTTGTTGATGTACTGTATTTGTATTATATTAATATATACAGTGTGTTATTTGTAATAATATTATGTGTTGTTCAGTACAGTAATTGCCGCCTTAATAGTAAGGTGCTAATAATAATAAATGAAGAGTTATCCCTGCAATTATTGTTCCTTGTCTCTCGTTGCTACGCTGAAACAATATTCTCAACTGAATTAGAGTCGAAAATAACATAACTTACCAGACATGACTCCCTATTGGGATCGAAAACGATAAGAGTACTCTTTATAAAGTCGAAAATAACAAACTCTCATTACAATCAGAAATATAACTCTGAAAAAATACAGTACTAAAAATTTATTATGTATGCACTTTCTAGTAACGGTTGCGAATTCCAAATCATAATATATATATATATATATATATATAGATGAAGAGTTGAGTTTGTAATTGTGGTGAGGTTGGAATCGCAAAAGTTGTGGCGTGATTAGCTGCGGAATAATTAATTAATTAATTAATAGTAGTTTCACAGTGGATTGACTGACGGACAACATTGACGGTCCAGATTTCATCTCCTCTCCACTTTCAGGTGATGTTACTTTCCCAAGGCCAACACTTCTATCTCATTTTTATTTTTTATTTTTTATTTTTATTTTCTCTCTCATTTCAATTATTTTGTTTATAAATATTTTTAGGTAAATGATCGTAGTAAAATTTAATACTCTCGTTATTTGCCAAATTTAATGAAGTGCAGCACAATTATATTGGTGTTCACGAAATTATATGTGATGCACTAAATATTACTCCCTCCGTCCAATGTATTATTGGTATGTTAGTGGAGATACAAGAATTTAGGTAAAGTGTGATTAGTAAGTAATTAAAAAGTGTATTAGTAAAAATAATTATCGTATAATAAAAATAATTGTGGATTAAGATTAAATTAACTAAATAGTTTAATTAAAATTAAAAAAATTATAAAATTTAAAATTTAAAATGAGATTAAAGTGTATAATTATATTTCAAAAAAATGAATAAACAAATTATGTGGGAAGAACGAAAATAGAAAATAAGAACAAATTATGTAGGACGGAGGGAGTCCGAGAAAATATATATATATATCTATATATTTATTTCATGCAGGAAAGTTATGAACGTGACAATTTCTATTAAATTCTCTAATTCTAAATTTAATTTTCTTTTTATTTTTTATATACTAATTTTTTTTACTTTATTTTTATTAATTTATTCATTTTTACTCCCTATTCAGTTAAAATTTCTACAATACCTTTATTTATTTTATTTTATTAACTTCAATTTTTTTTTTATATCTTCACATATAAGCCTTAATTTCTACTATATAATTTCACTTTTTTACCATTAAAAAATAAACAAATAGATAGATAGATAACAATATAAAAAATAATATATATCTTTGCAACCCTTACATAATAATACAAAATATTTATAGAAAAATATCAATGTATGTGATACTCAATTTTGCAAATACGATTAAACAATAAGTAGATTAATTATATATATAAATACTTACAAATAAATTACATATATATATTTAAATGTTCACAACTATTAAATTTTAATACAAAATATTTATAAAGAATATTAATCTTTGATTGAATAAAGTATAAATAAATTAATAAACATGTACTTCGAATATTTTGTATCGTTGGTCGTCATTTTGTGAAAAAAAAAATTATAAAATTGATAATTGTTTACATAAATCAAGGGTTTTTTTGTTACATTAGGTATATAGAATTATAAATAAAATATTATTTTGAGGACAAAATTGAAAGTTTATAGCTGAAAATGTGTAAAATTATAAATGAAGAGTTGTAAAAAATAAATAGGGAGTTTTAAGAAACAAATATATAAATAGTAACTGACAAGGAAAACAATTTGTAAAATAAAGATTTTTGGAGAATTAACCGTTATGAATATGTGCAATTTTATTTTATTCGTAGTAAGTAAAGATTTCGCTCCGTTCTCCCAATATTTTTTTTTTCTTGAAATGTGATTTTTCAAAAATAATAATAATAAAAAATAAACTTTATACCAAAATTAAAAAACAAACAAGTCTGATACTCATATTAAAAAATCAAAAAGTCATTTAAAAAAGTAAAAAAAATCAAATATTCGATCTAAAGTAATACTACATTTTTCGTCTCATATTTATGTATTCGTTTGCTTTTTACACAGAGTTTTAGAAATATGAGTATTATATTGGAATACAATAGGAATAAAATAAAAATTACTAAAATAACCTTATTAATATTGTGTGTTATAAATGTAATAATATTTGTGTAATACTCCCTCCGTCCACTTACAAAGTTTACATTTACTTTTGGCATGATGGTTAAGAAATAATAGTATTTTAATTATAGTGAGTAGTTAAAAGTAATATAATGACATTTTTGTCCTTACTTTTTTTGTGTAAAAGTAATGATGTGATGTAAAAGAAGGGTATTTATGGAAAAAAGTAAGGTATTTAATGAAATGTTAACTTTGTAATTGGACGTTCTAAAATAGAAATATGTAAACATTGTAAGTGGACGAATGGAGTATATTGTAATTAGTAAGAATATTTGTAATGTTAGATAGATACTACAGTTACTAAAATGAAAATGAATACTTTGTACAGACTAAAATAGAAAAATGAATAATTTGTTAAATAATAGAAAAAAAATATTTTATATTTTTTACACATTTCTCATACTACACATAAAAATCATTTCATCTAAAAATTTTGGGTAAACGATATCTAGAAATAGGAAAAATATAATAATTACAATTTAAAATAAAATATTAAGTGCAGTATATTAATTTTTTTGAAAAAATACGTTAGAAAGTTCTTATTGAAAGACCAAAACCTTGGATAAATTGCATAATACAATTTCATATTTTATGAAAATTATATAAATACATATGTTTTATTTATTATATAAAATACTTTTGTATTAATATTAAAATTTGTATTATCATTTTTTTCTAAAATAGCGGAAAATAAAAATTATACACTTATTATGTAGATACTCTTGTATTTGATAGAAATAAAATTATAAAATATTTATTATATATTTTTACTAATAAAGGATATTAAAATAAATAAGGTTTGACAATTTATTTTTTTCAATTTTATTTAAGAAATAAGATGAAATTCATGTTATAATTTTAATAGTTTAGGAAATTTACTATTAATTTCATATTATTTAAATCAAGTTCGTGTTTAGGCCGAATTTTATTATTGATTCTTAATTTTTCGAAATAAACAATTATATTAAAATTTTTTTAAGTACACCAAATAAGTTTTTAAAAATATAATATGGAATATAATATTTAAATATAAATAAAATATGTTTAGATTGTGTTATTTTTTAAAAAAAATTTAATTTTATATTTTAAACCCGAGACTTAATTTAGATATTAGTTTATACAAATTTATAAAATATAAATAATATATTTTTATTAAACTTTATAAAAGTTAATTAATAAAAAAGTGGAGTATAGACAAAGAGAACAAAATCTTCTTTTTATAAATTTTTTCAAATATTGTAAATTATAAGTTGGTGATGTATGGAATCCACCACTAGGGATGCTCCATAAATATTTGTTCGAAATGGATATTATATTTTGCGTTTTTTTAATATTAAAAATATTTTTATATTTGTATAATATTTTGCACAAATGTCATTATAATAGTATTATAAGACACTAGTACATGTATTTTTGTTATTTTCTATATTTTCATATAATAATTAATATTCAAATATCAACACGCAAAAAGTAAATGAGACCCTTGGAGTCGGACGGAGGTAATAATAAATAACAAAAAAAACTTTTTATAAAAGTAAAAAAAAAAAAACTCGATAAAAAATTGTCAAAATATTGAATATTAATTTAAAATAATATATTTTATATTTTTGACACAATTTTACATACCACACATAAAAAAATCAATTTATTTAAAAATGTTGCATGAACAAATCTTGTGATTTTATTTCTATTATTTTTTATTTTTTATTTTTTTTACTAATTTGCAAGCAGGCAATTGGGGATAGAAAGGGAATAAATAAGGCCCAATTACAAGAGTCTATATAAAAGCCCAATAGATTAATGGACCAATTATACAAAGAGATATATACGATTGTTTGATTTGAATTTCAAATTAATTTATTTTATTATTATTATTGTTATTAAATATATAAATTTTTTAATTAAAATATATTATTTCATGCCACTTGAATATATTTTTTTGGGATTTTTTTAATAATATATTAAAAAATAAGAAATTTTATTAATTAATAGAAATTTGTAAAATAATTTTTTGATATTTTTATCTTTTGTATTTTATATAAATTAATTGTATATATAATTTAGATCTGTAATTTATATGTTGGTGCGGTTAGGCAGAGAAAATTTTCAACAAATTTTGAAAATAATTTTAAGTTATTTTGCCTTTATACAACAATTTATATTTATTCATGTAATGCTTGAATTTAATAATAAAATAATATTTAATGAAATGTATTATTTAAAAAAATATAGTAAAATTTAGAGAATTTGTACAAAATAAACACACACGAACCTTTCTGTGTGTTCATAGTAAGTAAATACTTTTTATGTTCGTCAAAATTCTTTATTTTTATATTTATTTCATGTATTAAATTTATTATATTATTAACTTTGACAAAAGTTAATAAATCATATTTAACTATTCCTTTCAATTCAATATTCTTTTCGTCTTTTCATAGATGACTTTTTTTTTTTTTTGTCAGTCTCATTAAAAATGACTATTTTTAATAAATTTATTAATTTTATATATATTTAACAAAGATAAATAAATTAAATTAAATTTTTATTTTTTTACATATAGGACGCTAAAAACCCCATTATTTATGTTTCTTTTCTAAATAAATAAATATTTTTATTTATATTTAAAAATTATTATTTTTTATATAAAATTAGTTTTAAGTTAATCATAAATAAATTAATAATTTTTAATTTATTTTTATTATATAAATAAATTATATCTTTATTGCAAATATTTTATTTAGATATAATACTAAAAATATTTAAAATATAAAAAATATTACTTATATAAAAAAATAAAAAAATAATACTTCCTCCGTCCCGCAAGAAGGTTACCATTTGATTTTTGGTACTTAACATTAAAAATGTCATTATATTTGAATAATTTACTCGATAAATATCATTGTATTTGTATTATAAGAGACTAATAAACGTATTTTTGCCTTTTTCTTTTGATTTCTACTGTGTATTGATATAATAATTAATAATAAAAGTTCAACACACTAAAAGGCTATGACAACCTTCTTGCGGGATGGAGGGAGTATCATAACTTATTATTAGTAATTTATTAATTTTTACTACTGTTGATGTAATTTTTCAACAATAAAAAGTAAAATCCGAAAATAGGGAAATATCTTCGAATTTGATATAATTAGTGTCTGAGATTAGGAATCTCTAAATACTGTATAATACATAAATAAAATAGGAAAATATAAAATACAGACTGAAAAATAAAGTGGGATGTCGATTGAAGATGCCTTTTTTCGAACAGCACCGGATCCTTAAATAACCCCTTAAAGAAGCGGTTTGAACCACCATTTGGTTGGTTACAGCAACTGCCGTCAACCGTCCACTAAGTTCTCCTCTGTTGACACGTGTTGCAACTTCCTCCAACCGCCCAAGAACTGCCTCTCACGACTTGAACCTTCCCAGAAATGCCTTTCGTCCGACCTGCATATCCACTGCCATGTCCCTTCTTGTCCGACTTCGTTTCGCCCGACCTATGTGCCACCCAACCAATCGAGAGACTAACTGGTCGCTAGACCAAACGATTCCTTGGCCGCCCCATCAAGCGACCACCATCTGGTCTCTTGTCCGACCACGTATCGTTCGTCTTATTCTTCTTCGCCCGACCTCACTTGGTCTGAACTCCGCATCAACCGACCTCCATATCAGCCGACCTCCGTGTCGTCCAACTCAACCGACTGCGGACTGCTCGACCTGCTCAACCGACTTTGGACCATCCGACCTATTTAACCAACTGAGAACCAACCGACCGCGGATCAGCCGACTGAGAACCAACCAACCGTGGATCAACCGACGGCGAAACAACATCCTCTGGTCGCCTTATCTCCTTAGATGGACGGCTGGTCCAACCGACTTCCTTTTGACTCTGCTACCATACCGTCTTACCTTGGCCCGTCCGTAGGCCAACTAACCAACTTACTTTGGTCGGACTGCAGACCAACCGACCAACTTCCTTTGGCCAGACTACAAACCAACTGACCTGCTTATCCGACTGCGTACCGTCTGATCTCCTCTTTCGACCGACCTCAGTACCAGCCGACCTTCTTCGCCCGACATCCTCTTTCGATCGACCTCAGTATCAGCCGACCTTCTTTGCCCGACTTCCTCTTTCGACCGACCTCCGTATCAGCCGTCCTCCGTCCGACCTCATTTGGTCCGACCGCGAGACAACCGACTACGGACCATCCGACCGGACCAACCGACCACAAACCCATCCGACAGCGAACCAACCGACCGGTTCTGTTTGTCTTATCTCCTTAGATGGACAACTGGTTCAACAGACTATCTTCTTGACACTTCTCTGCCCGACCTTCGTCTTGACAGACCTCCGCGTCTGCCGATACCACTTCTCTGCCCGACCTTATCCCATCCGATCTCCGTGCCCGACCTTGTCCTGTCCGACCTCCGTATCGGCCGATTATCCTTCCTTGTCCGACTTCTTTTTGCTCGACTTCTGGGCAGTTTGACTTATATCCAGATCCATTCAGAATCCTACTGCCATTATTTATTATTATTATTTTTTGTGCTCAACAACTACCTAAAACCGCGTCAATAATAAAAAAGGTCATGGGACGAGGGGAGAACTTATTTACAACAAACCACTATCTTAGCTTTTTTAAATTCTTTCTACTTTCTTTGATTTTTAGCTAAAGTTTTTAAAAATATCCCAATTATTATTATTTTTTATCATTTTCTTTATAAAATTTTTATTTATTTATTTAAATTTTCGTGCCCGAATATGTAATACTATAACTTTTACAGGACAAAGGAAGTCTTCCTCCCTCCGTCACATTTACTTACGTGACTGTATTTAATATTAAAAATATCTTTATATTTGTATAATTATATTTTATTTTAAATTAAAACAAATAATATCGAAAATTCTTTTAAACACAACCAAACACAATTGTATTACCATGGATTGGATCAGGTGGAGGGGCAGAAAGTAATAAAATAATCAGAGTCCGTACAAGTGCACGTGCTGGACATGTCGTCGTAGGCGTAGCTGTACGCCGTCGGGCACGCGCTTTTGAACACCGCCGAGTACGGCGTCGCCGGGCACGTCGCCGCCGTCGCGTGCTCGCCGGTGCAGCAGAACTCCGCCGTGTTGAACGCCAGGCACGCGCTCTTGCACGCCACCACCGCGCCGCTGCCGTCCACCACCTCCAGCTCCTCCGGGCAGTCGGCGTTCAAGTCCGCCACGCACCCGGCGGACTGGCATTCTCCGGCGCCGCCGGACGGCCGGACGGCGACGCCGACGTTGTAGCCGTCGACCAGGCTGACGTCGTAGAAGTCCTTCGCCGCTCCGTCGGCGCTCCCTAGCGTGAATTCCACCAGGGACACCGGCGGAGCTCCGCCGCCGGTGCACCTGATCCCGCCGCCGCAGTCGCCGGTGGCGCAGCTGCCGGCACCGGCCTCGTCGAAGCTGCAGCCGGTTCGGGCCCAGAACCGGCCCGACCAACCCGGCGGGGCAGGAAGCTGGACGGTGTCGCCGGGGGCCAATGCGAAGCCGCCGCCGCCGAGAAGGGTGGCGCCATCGCCGGATAGTGTCCCCGGCCAGATTGTGTAGCTGCAGCTGTTTTGAATGGTGAAAAGTGTAGCTGAAGACAATTTCATAAATTCACCTGGAAATATATATATGTATTATATGTTACATACTATAGATTTTGGAATTTAATTTAAAATTAAATAAGACCTAATTTTGGAATGAATTAGCAAATTAATTTAGGTACGTACCTGAGAAGAAGAAGAAGACCAATACCATTAGAATGGGTGTCATGGGGATTTTGTATATAGTTGTAAAGGATATATGCTTATTTGTGGAACTTGAGAATGAAGATATACATTTGCACGCATATATATATATATATACACACGCTACTACTCGTCAAAGCGCGTTGCGCCAGCGCTGCTCGTTTGTTTGTTTCATTTTTTCTAGAGAATAAGTTGTTATATTGTGTATTTTAATCAACGAAAGAAAAATAAAAGATAGAAATATATAATTTTTTTATATCCGTGAAACCAATCAATTTAAAAAAATATATATTTCTTTGGATAATTTTTATTTTATTTTATTATAAAATTATTCTCTACAAAATAATATATACTGAATTGGTCACATGAGAAGGAAGGAAACCTTCCAGTAAGTAGTTGGTTGGGATAGAAAGATGAGAGAAAGAAATATAATAAATTATATAAATATATATTTTTTATATATGTGCAACCAACCAATTTAAAAAATATATATATTTCTTTGGATAACTTTTTTTCTATTTTATTAAAAAATTATTCTCTACAAAATGATATTGTTGAGTACAAAAATAAAATAAAATAAAATAATGGTAGCAGGGTCTTAGGTCGGACAAGATAAAGTTGGATGAGGAAAGATGAGACGGCCGATACGGAGGTCGGTCAAAAGAGGAAGTCGGGCGAAGAAGGATCAGAGGCCGATACGGAGGTCGGTTAAAAGAGGAAGTCGGACGAAGAAGGATGAGACGGCCGATACGAAGGTCGGTCAAAAGAGGAAGTCAGACGAAGAAAGATGAGATGGCAAACACGGCAGTCGTACAAGAGAAAATGTCTGTTAATTGGTCGCTTAATTAGCCAATTAACAGACCTGTTAATCGACTGACCGATTGGCCGGTCATTTGGTCAAATAGTAGTTCAGTCGCTTGAAAAGGCGGTTAGTTGGTCACTTGATTGAGCGACTAATGAATCGTCTGGACGAATAGTTGTCCAACCGCTTGAAGGGACTGGATGGTGGTCGCTTGATTGGACGACCGATGAACTGTCTGGACGTTTGTTCAGCCGTTTGGAGGGACTAGATGGTGGTCGCTTGATTGGGCGCTAATGAATCGTCTGGACGAATGGTTGTTCAGCCGATTGAAGTCACCAGATGGTGGTTGCTTGATGGGGCGACGAATGAATCGTTTGGTCTAACGACCAGTTAGTATCTGGATTGGTCGGTTGGTCAATTGTTGGGTTATGCGGTAGGTTCAGTCGGTCGGCCTGCAGTCTGTTGAAAGTATGTTGGACGGTTGAGTAATCGTTCAGGACTAGCCGTCCATTTAAGGAGGTAAGGTGCCATGAGGTGGTCGGTCGAACCAGTTCAGTCTTGTAATTGGCATGAGCGGTTGGCGAGACGGTTAAGACATGTATCAATGGAGGAGGAATTGGTGGGCGGTTGATAGCGGTTGCTGTAACGGACCAGACGACGGTTCGAAACGTTTGTTTAGGGATTATTCAAAAGAAGACGTAGCAGCAGGTGTGCTGGTCGGACGAAAAATAGTTTCCAGACGGTTGAGAGAAGTTATAACCGGCGAGCGGATATAAAGGCATGACCTGGATTGTGGCGGTTAACATAGGTTTTAAATAGGTTTGTTCATGACCTAAAAAAACCATCTTCAATCGACATCAAATTCACTGGAATTTCTTTTGGGATCACCATTTACTTTTTCAGTCTGTTATTCTTAATCTCAAACATTTATTTTATCAAATTCGAAGATAATCTCTATTTTCGGATTTTACTTTTTATTGTTGAAAATTTGCATCAACAGATATATATATATACTGAATTGGTCAGATAACAAAGAGGAGGAGAACCGTCGGTTGGGATAGAAAGAGAAGAGAAAGAAATATAATAAATCATATAAATATATATTTTTATATCTGTGCAACAAACCATTTTTTAAAAAAAATTATTTTTCTTTAGATAATTTTTTTTTATTTTATTAAAAAATTATTCGCTACAAAATTATATATATACTGAATTGGTCGGATGAGAATGAGGAGAACCGTCCAGTTGGTTGGCATAAAAAGAGGAAAGAAATAAATATAATCAATTATATAAATATATATATTTTTTTATATATGTGCAACCAACCCATTTAAAAAAATATATATTTTTTTTGGATAATTTTTTTTCTATTTTCTTAAAAAATTATTCTCTACAAAATGATATATACTGAATAATATTTAATTTAGCTAAAATTAAAAATGTAAATAAAACATAATTAATTTAAGAAAACATAATTATTTAAATATTTAAATAAAACATAAAAATATAATTTAAGAAACACATCAATTAATTTAATTTATACAACACAATAATTATAAAATATACTTAAAAATTAATAAATTAATATTTTATACACAAAATACAATAAATACAATTATTGAATTAAATTAATATAAATTATACCAAAACTCGATATAATTAATTAATTAATTTAATAAAAATAAGCTATAAAATATGTCAAAATCGAGAGTTATCACTAACCGACTTTCTCCTGGACGGTTGTTTTCAATCCTTCTCATGAATATATAAATTTAAATAAATAAAGAATATAAATATAGATATTTTGAAATAAAAATGAAGTGGTCGAGGGAATTGGTCGGTTACCACTTTAGACTCGCCCAAATTCGGATGTTTTCTATTTCTGTAAGATCAGCCGTTCAGTCGGACTAAAACTTCTTTTGTTTTGCGTGCCCAACAAATTCAAAAACTCTTGCATTAGTTTCAAATGCATTATTTTATATATCATAGCATTAAAATATTGTAACTAAGTTATTGTATTAAAGAAAATGTTACGATCTACAAAATAATATCCATATCAATATATTTTGTACAAATAAATCACTACCAAAATAGCAAATAGAATTGGAAAAACACAACTCTAAAAAACATCCAATATCTTCACTATAATTGACAACGTGGGGTTTTATTGACAAATTTAGTCATATTTGCCCACAATATTACAGTACGTACAACTGATGTAAAGATACATTATTTCAGTATTAAGGTTAGTTTAGTAAAAACAGATAGCCATCCGTACAACTTCTCGTATATATGTGTTTCAAGACATATATATATATGGCAGCGGCCCGACCAAGTATGCTGATTTGATTGAATCAATATATGTTACAGGTGTGACTATCATAAATTTATACATTTTTATTATATTTATAACTTAATATATATTATACTCCCTCCGTCCCACCGGAAGGGTGACATTTGCTTTTTGTACGTAGATTTTTTAATATTAATATTATATTGGATTGTAGTTTAAAAGACAAAAATATCCCTATTAGTAAAGTGTAATATAAAAATAATGACATTTGTGTAATATATTGTAGATTGAAATGGTATTTATTATGTTAGGTAGGTAGTACAATTACTAAATTAGAAAATGGTAACTTTGTTTTGGGACGGACGAAAATAGAAAATGGTAACCTTTCAATGGGACGAAGGAAGTATTATAACTTAGTATATATTATTTTATAACTAACCATATATATTGAGATATGTATAAATATATGTTGATTAATCCCTATATTTTTTTGTGCAATATTTTAAATTGTTCAATACTATTTAATGTAATATTAATGTGATAAAAAATATTGCTTATTTGATTTGATATCAAAATCTTAAAAAATATGGTGTAAACTGCCTTTGATCTTATTTAAAATAATTTTATTACTTATATAATAGTGTAAAAGAAAATGATTATAAGAATGGAAAAATTAAAAAGAAATTAAATAAAAATAAATTAAATTTATTTAATTGTGGTTTTAAATTGATTTGAAATGAAATACTTTATTTGTCTCATAAGTAGGGTTTTATTTTTTTTCTTTTCGTTCGTCTCAAAACAACGATACTATTTTCTAATTTAGTAACTGTAGTACCTACCCAACATAATAAATACCCTTCAAATTTACAATATATTATGCAAATGCCGCCACCTTTATATTACACAATATTAATAAGAGTATTTTCGTCTTTTATACTCAAATTTAATATAATACTAATATTAAAAAATCTACCAAATATTACTCATTCATATGGGACATATGGGACATAGGGAGTATTAATTTTAAATTTATTTAAATATTATTTTGATAAGATCTTTTATATATATATATATATAAAACTCCATCTCTCCAATTAATAATTATATATTTTTCTATTTTTAATTATCCAAATACAAAGTATTAGATCCTGTGACGGATCCAACGTCCGAACTCCTGAGGGACAAAATGTCCGTAATTTTTTTTAAATATTTAAGTAATAAACAATAAAATAAAATAAATAATAAAATACTTTTATTAAAAAAAAAATTAAAGTAATAAACCGGAAATATTAAAATAGTGTAATGTTACATAATGAATTTATTTTTAATTTTCACAAAATTTTTCTTTTAGAAAAATAAAATAAAAAAGAAATAGAAAAAGAAAATACCAAAATAACGATATGAATATTATAAGATTTATTTTTTATTTTTAAAAAATATGTTATATGTTTATAATTAAAATTTAATACTTACTTCCTCCGTTTTAAATAATAGAGACATTTGAGATTTGCACGAATTAAAGAATAATACTCCCTCCGTCTCAGAAGTAAGTATGCATTTGCTTTTTGCACGTAATTTTAAAAATATTAGTATTATATTGAGATATAGTAGAAATAAAATAGAGACTAAAATAACCTAATGATATAAAGGTAATGACATTTGTGTAATATATTGTAAGTTGTAAGGGTATTTGTAATGTTAGGTAGATAGTACAGTTACTAAAAAATAAAATAGATACTTTGTTATAGGACGGACTAAAATGAAAAAAATGGATACTTTGTTATGAGTATTAATAGTAAGTGTAAAAATATTTATAAAAGATCAAAATGTTCATATTCTATGTAATTATTGTAGAAAAAGTAAAAATAATTTTGTAAAAAGGTGGAGAACTTATACCAAAAATAGAAATGACAAAATATGACTATTGTTTTAAAAAAGATGAATATATACTACTCCCTCCGTCCTAAACACCGTGCAACATTTGTGT